GGGAGTACGATGCATCCAAATCTGCAAGAGCTTGCCGTTATACTTTTCATACGTCATACCGGGGATATTCAAATAAGAAGTACACGTGTTGGTGGCATTATCATATACTGGATCTTGTGCCTCTTTGAGCGGATCCGCTGTACTCAAGTTGGAATTGAGCATGTTGTGTGTGAATATGTGTATAAGGTATATTCCAGACTCACACACCAGACCTTCACCGATGTTTGTCTCGAAATTGAGTGTTAATACGAAGTCTGAGCCATTACACGTCTCAATTGTGTCAATTTTAGAAATAAAGCCAGAGTGGGGACACGAAGATGCAACCATTAGAAGAACGCAAAGCTGGAAAGAGATGCGAAATGGGGAGAACTTGGTCGTCCACCCAAATGAGTGTAGACTGGGGAATGGCCTTGGGGGTGAGACTGAGGAGAAGTGAGATCGAGACACAGAAGAGGGTACATCACTCATTCCCGTTTATTTCTGGAGTAGTGGATTGATGACGTTACAGTATTACAATTTGGCATTTGCAAATTGCTCTGGGAATCCCCTCTCCGTATTTTCCGTAAAATAGATGGAAAATACGGAAAATCTAAAGCAAAAAGTCACGTGAAGACATGTGACAAACTGACAATAACATGGAGGATGAGGATGAGGTTTTAGTAGGTGATTTAAACTTTATCTCTCTTTATTGGATTTACCTGCCGTAATGATTTTCTTTTCCTTGTTCAGTTAAGTATTCACACCACTGGAAGAAAAGACAGGCCTTGATTGACGAGATAATTGCTCACGATGTTGAAACCGGAGACGAAGAATTTGACGATGAATATTCTGACCTACACAGCAGCTTTGTCACAAAAGCCTCAGAACTGAGAGAACTACAGGAAAGATGTAACTAGTAACACATACATTTCTGGAAAACTTGAAAGTATTTTTTAGGCGGCGAATGGAAGAAGGGGAGATGGTCGAAACAAGAGTACGATATACTAAAGACTAATCTGAAATCATATATGAAGGTATAATGTATATGTACATTATGTTTCTGATGTTCATAGCTCAAGAATATATAAGTCGAATTAGCACAAAGTTTCTGCATAACATAGTTGATGTTATGTGTAAAAATAATAAAATTAAGATTTGCAACTCGAAAGTCGTTATCTTTCAATGTAATAAATTTCTTTTTTATTATAGGAGTTCAATATCACTGATATTAATATACTTCTTGATAACGCTGACAAGAATATCGAGTTTTACAGAAAAATAGGTAAAGCTACATGTACATGTATCTACAATGACAATCACTTCAATTTTTGGATGCGTTCAAATTTTATGGTTGCTTTGCAAATTTTTGAACGACTAACCTGTTAATTTATGCCTATACTTTTTGTAGCCTGTAACATCAAGAGGCCATTGTTTGTAGTGTACAGAAAGTTATTGAGATTCTTCACTGAAGAGAATTACATCGGCATGTAAATAAAATTTAATTCTATCTTTATATTTTATTTTAATAATAATTTTTTAGTTGGACTAGAGAAATGAATGACAGATTAGTTGAGTGAGTTTATAGTCTATTTTTAGTAACAAAACTGATTATGTCATCATTGAGTGATCATTCTAAATTTAACATTACAATCAGGTTGCATGCTTTACATGGAAACGATTGGAATACAATTGGACGGATTATGGGCATCGGGTGGGCCACTTGCTACGACCATTTTAGAACTGTTAATATTAATAAAAAATACACTGAAGGTAAAAGCACATGTATGCATTAATAATTAATATACTAATAAATTGTAAAATTACTGTATATACTTACTTTTTAGTTATATTGTTTGTATATATATATTTATATTGTTGTTATTTTTTTGTTAGGTCCATGGTCAAGCGAAGAAGTTGACAAGTTATGTCAAGTGATGGTTAGAGAGCATGGGATTGAAGACTGTCAGTTACCATCTAATGTCACTTGGGAAATGATTTCAAGGGCTGTAGTAACTAGGAGTGCCATGCAGTGTCGTTTTAAATGGTAAAAAGGAGCTTAATAATAATAATAATTATTATTATGTAAAAATGAAGCTTGTTTTTTGTAAATTTTTTTAATTTTTTATTTAATTGTAGGGTGATGCTCTTATCTTGGAAGTTAAAGGGAGGAGAAGAAAAATGGACGACGTCTGATGATTTGAGGCTAATAGAGTGTTTGAACGAAGACGAGGAACTTGAGGACGAAGAAGACATTGACTGGGAGAGACTAGCAGCTGCTTGGCCTAGGTATGATAATGATGGTACCCAAAAACAGCTTCAGTAGTAACCATACGTGTCCCCCCATTTTTGTGTTTTATTCATGCAGTGCCAGATCAAAGTATTTTTTAAGGCAAAAGTGGGCAAGTTTGAAACGAACCGTTCCTTTTAACAGTTCAAAGATTTTTAGAGGCAAGTGTGTGTCTTG